GGAAGGAAGGAAGGAAGGAAGGAAGGAAGGAAGGAAGGAAGGAAGGAGAATACCCATTCCTAAGAGGCCTGCAGGGGCCGTGCATAAGTGCCCAGTCGTGCCTACCATCCCTGTCCTATTGTCTCCATTTATTCATACCTATTTCCTGTATTCTTACTCATGTTTATACTTATACCTATTATCTTGTAAGCGATTGACAAATCAAATAAATAAAAATAAAATAAAATCTTATCGACTGAATGGGCTTTCAGACTCCACCTGATGCATCGCTCGCCTTTTCTCCTGGCTAAGCGGCTCTTAAGAAAACCAGCTTTTGCTAGCAGGAATAAACCGGCCCTGCTAAAGAAAATCCATGCACATTTTTTCAGAGTGTGTGTTTCTCTCTCTCTCTCTCTCTCTCTCTCTGTGTGTGTACACAAGATGTTAAACTGGAGATCTCCCTGGGTTGGCAGTAGCTCTGTGGTAAGTATCCCTATGGCCAAACCTAGAAATAAAGGGGCATCTTCCAAAGTGACCCCCACCCCAGCCACCCTCCAGGACCAGATAGGGGGCTTAAGGGAGAGGGGCACCCTGGGTGGGGTCTTCCCAGGCCTTGCAATTGTGGGACTGCCTGCAATTCAAGCGGGGCGACCCCTGCCCAGGGGGGCGAAGGAAAAGGGCTCTTGCCCGGCGGGGGTCTTCCTTTCCAAGGGCTCAGGGCAGGAGAAGGGGGAGGGGGGCGTCGTCTGGGCGAGCAGGTGAGTCATTCTTGCAATTGCAGCGGGGGGAGGTTGGGGGGGAGGCTTTTAAGGACCCCCACCCTCCCAGAGATGGGCATGGAGGGGCTCGCCTGCAAAAGGGGCCCTTCCCCCGGTGGGCTGCGGGGGTCTCCTCCGGGGGGAGGAGAGGGTCCCTTCCAGCCCCTCCCGGTCCCCGCACAGGTGAGGCTCCGACAGGTGAATCTCTCGGACCCGGAGAAGGACGGCGGGCGGGCTAGTCGACCCCTGGGCCTGCAGGGAAGGAAGGGGGGACTGGAGGAGGAGGCCCCGGGCCGCGAGACGGACCCCCCCTCCCCGGCGCTTACCTGCGGCAACAGGTACGACTTGAAGGTGGCTTTGGGGGCTCGGAGGGAGAACATGACGGAGGCAGCGAATCCCCAGGCAGGCAGGTCGGCCCTGGTCGTTCTCCCCGGCAGCGCCGGGCGGGGTCCGAGGCCCCACCTCGCTGGGCAGGGCCGCGAGCGGACCCCACCCCTTCCCGCTCCGCCTCCTCCGGCCGAGGCGGCGGAGCGACTGAGCGCCGCTGGAAGGGAAGGAGCGCCTCGGGCTGGCGAAGCCACGCCTCCGACAGGGGAGGGGAGGAGTCCCCGCGAGTGCAGAGCCAACGGGGAGCGCGGAGGAGGAGGAGGCTCCGCCTCTTTTTGTATCCTAGCAACCGCGGGGAGAGTCTCTGAATAGACGGGTTGGGGGGGGAAGGCTGCGTGCGTGAGGCGGAGGCGGAGGAGGCGGTGTTCGCGGACGGCAGACCGTGGCGGACAAAAAGATCGAGATTTTTTCTTTTTTTTTTTAACTTCTCCCCTCTCCATTTTTAAACACGGTGCTAAATCAGGTCAAGAGTGCTGACTAGGGGATTCTGGGAGTTGAAGTCCACATACTTGAAAGAGAAACAAGGTTTCAGGTCGAAAAAGACCAGGATTAAAGTTCAGTTTCAAAGAAAGGGCTGCCAGATCTAGATTGCTAGCATAAGGGTGGCCAACAGGTGGCGGCAAAGCCATTCTTGGTGGGTGGGTGTGCAGGTGCTGCCCTCTAGGGGTCCTCTGCATTTTTGCAGTCCAAATCTGGAACCCCAAATAAACTCAGAAGCAGCTCTAAATAAATAAACATCAGACAAAGCATGCATGCAATGCTCAGAGTTCCTCTAGCTTAAAAGCACCCAGCATCCTCCTGAATTCCCATAGGTCAAACATGACAGTTTTGCATCTTAGATGTTCACTGAGTCTGGCAGATTTTCCAATTAAACCAGCATGAGCCCTCAATTCCAAAGTTGCAATTGACCCCTGGGTTAAAACAACAGAATGCCCCGCCATGTGAGGACTCAGCTGGATGGCAAAGTTGGTTGGGAAATGTTCTCCTTGGGTTTGGCAGCCTTCGTCCCACGCATTCAAACCCATCCTGGATTTCCTCCAGAGAGGATTGTTTGTGCCGTTTTAAAGGCACAGACAGACATCAAAAAATACTAGCAACTTTACATTTCAACCTGCTTGCTTCAAGAGGAGAAACTCGTCTCGACATCTCGGGATGAGCCTAGCTAGGTTTGCAACAGAATGTACCTAAGGACAGAGCAAATGACAAAGGGAGAAAATTTCAAGCAAGAAGCCCCCCTCTGAATCCCTTCCTAAAATTGGCTGGGGAATTCTGGGAGTTGTCCATCCACCTTGAAGTTTTTGAGGTTGAAAAACAACAGCCGAAGGGATAGCACTCTCCATCTCCAAGGGGTTGTTGGGTGGCTCTTTTTGGCTAGAAATGATGGCATCCTGGCTGGGGAATTCTGGGTGTGGAAGTCCATCCTACTGAAAGTGGCCAAGATTGAAAAACACAACGATATTTTTTACTGCTTATGAACTTCTAATGAAAAGCCCCGGAGAATTCCCTTCACAAATGGACATTCCCAGAAAGTAACTCTAAACCTTTGGCCCATTCTGGGTGAAAAATTAACTTCTGCATTCCACTTAATGCAAGTCCTCTCTTACTTAAATAAACCATTTACTTTCTTTGTTAAAAAAAAATAATATTTGGGGAAGAGAAGCGTTCTTGCAGAAAGGAAAAGGGGAAATCAGGACCTCAACGGAGGTTGCTTGTCTGCAAAATTATAGAGGTTCTTGCAGGGGTCGCAAATGTCAAAGATTTCATCTTTGAACCACAAAGGGCTGATGGGCTCACTGCTCTAGGACCCAGCAGAATAGAAATCCATTCCTCTAACCTCCATCCTGGGCAGATTGGGTGGGAGATGGGAAGTTGAGAGAAGTTGCCTAAAATGCAAGGGATCTATGACTTCTCCAATCCGTAGCTGCAGCTCTTGTCTGGGGAAAGTAGGCCCACAGATCTAGCACTTCGGTCAGGGGTATCCAACCGTGTGAACTTTAAGACTTGTGGCTGGGGAATTCTGGGAGTGGAAGTCCACAAAAAGCGGCCAAGGTTGGATACCCCTGACCTAGGCAAATTAAGTGGCTAGGGCTAGAGCTTCACTTTTTGAGGGCTCCTGCATCAATATGGACCATCGATTGCTTCCTGAGAGCAGAAATGGATCGTGTCATCCTTCTCCAATTCCCAGCCCCTTCCAAGTCCTCCAACACTTGTGTTTTCCACCATCAGTTCAACCCTATTTGCCAACCCCAGCTCTCCAGAGTTTCTTCTTTCTATCCTGGTAGCAGCCCAGCTCTGATTGACTGAAGTATCTGGGATTCCTTCTCAACATCCCTCCATCTAGTGCCCTTTCCCTTCCACTGATCGTCTCTGCCATTTTGGCAGAGTGGGTGGGCTTCTCCGATAGCCCACAGTTGGTCCTTTTTTTGAATAATCTCATGGTTGATCCAAGGATGGATCTGGTGGATGAATTAGGCTCAACCCTGGAATTTCAAGCTCCCCTCATCTCTTTACATCCCCTAATGGCACCTTTTGGGTTTCTCTTCAGGCTCTCTCACCCTGTGCCCAGAATACTGCAAAGCTGCCCTTTCTTTTTCCTTTATTTTTCAACGCATCGTGAAGCAGCAACATAGGATCATGTCTACAGGAAGCTGAACTATCAGGTGCTCCTTACTGCAAAGATTTCAGGGTGATAAAAGAAAGGCTGGTTCCCCGTGGCTTCAATCCTCATAGCATGATGCCAGAAGGGGAAAGAGAAAACAGAAAATGTTCTGCACTGATATCAAAGGAGATCATACTGGGGAAAAGGTTCCTGGGCGGTGGCAGACACTGAAGGTGTCTCTGTATGCAAATATTTGGGGAAGGGAAGGGAGGGAGGGACACAATTAAGCTGTCATTCCGCCATTTCTGTTTATCTTTCTTTATCTGTGCTGTGTTTATCCATTCACGGGTTGCCAAAGGAGATGGAAGCCCTCACTTTGGTTCCCCTGTTCAGTGCAGGATCCAGATGAAAACCTCTCCAACCGTCCAGCTGTCTAGCTTGTCCCGGAGAAGCCCCAATGAAGTGGATTCTCCTCTTCTCTCGGTCACGGGTTCTCACACCTTAGGAGGTTTTGTCCAATATGCAGTTGGAATCTGCCTCCCTCCGTCCATGATTGAGAGAAGGCTGCCCAAGAAAACGAGACAAGAGATTTGGTCTTCTTGGGTGTGGCTGCCTTTCAGGCCATTGAGAAGTGTTGTCCTATCAGTCTTTTCTTGTCAAGGCCAAGCAAAGCCAGTCCAACCTCCTCTCCTGCAGCTCACTTATTGAAAAAGGCCGTGTTTAGCATTCAGTTTCTGTGGAGGGTTTTTCTTGATCCATTTTCCGCTCCTCCGTTGGAGATCCGGAAGGTATCATCAAACTGCTGATGCTACTGGCATGGCCTGGCCTGTTTAGCTTCTCCTTAATGGACTTGGCTCTCTGAGAACGGCTGTGCAAACTCCTGGACCGCCCAGGTGGGTACCTGTCAGTTCTTCCTGACTTCGCCGAGTGTCTGTTGCACGATGCCCTCCTCGGAATGAGCAGCGAGGACACGGAGGAGGGACTGAGACCTTCAACTTTGCCCACCTCACGATTCTCTTCAGGGCTGGCCAACAAATACTTCTGCTCTGCTTGATTCTCCAGCTCAGGCACAATTCCTGGATATTCGGGAGGGGGCTCATCGTCCATTTTTTGCTGAAGTTCATACTTCCATTCAGCCATCCACTGCTGAACCACAGAAGGGCACACTTGGTTCATGATAGTCCTATATTCTTGGTCCACCAGTGTCCAGTTGTTAAACCCGCCAACCAAATCTTGGCCTTGGGCAAAAATAAAACTCTTCGACTTCATTATGGCGGCGTGAGAAGTGTTGCCTGTTTCCGTCGGGTAGTATCTCCTGGCTCTAGGCTTGTCCAAGGGGTAAGAGATGGTGGCTTCTAATTTGGTCTTCCCTGGAGGTAGTTGGGCATTCTGCAGAACTGGTTGGGTTCCAGGTTGACTGGATTGAGATATGGAATCATAACCTGGGGACTGATCTTGTGGGTCTACTGAACCGGAATATGAGCCAGGGACCGCCTGAATGACCTCTAAGGTGTTCTTACTGGTTTCCATGGAGGTCACCTCATTTGGTCTCAAGACAGAACAGAGGCTCCCTTGACGTTCTGGGCCCAGCTGCTTCTTGGAGTTGGTTTTACGCAACGCTGGAGACATTGGAGTGGGCAAAGTGTCACAGATCAGCTCGTCCGCCTGGTAGCGATAGATGCTGTAACCATCCGAACTGTTCACACTGCTTTGCCTCAAAAGATAAGCTGCGTCACATTCAGAGGAGGCCCTAGAACGTGGGAGAGTCAATTCTGAAGTGTCAATGCCAGCCAATTTCTCCAAAGCGGTCGCCATGCGGAAAGAAGTATCTTCCAGCTGAGAAAGCCGAAGATCCACCGTCTGGAGAGAAGCCTTCATGAAATGCTCCCTTTCATTCACTTCCTCTAACCTCATCGACATGTTTTCAACCCTAGAAAAGATGGAAAGAAATGGACGGTGACGCAAAATCGGTGAATGTTCTCCTGAAGACTGGAATAACCGGTCTGGGACAACAGAAGCGAGGTGGGGAATTTCTTCGGTTCTTATCGGGGATTTAATTAGTTTAACTGATGGATTCTGAGAATGTTCTTCGTTGATCAGGGCAATATCATAAAAGAAAAACAAGAAAATAAGAGGGGACGAAATGAGGTCAATTAATTTAGTATTTTGCCTGGACAACTCAAACTTTTCAAGAGTAGTCATTAAACTTTCTAATAAACGTTGACTTTTGAGCTGAAAGCTGGGACTATCATTTAGCTGCTTTGAACTCAGGCCCTGAGGTGTCCGATTATCCACCATCCAGTCATAGGTTCCAAATTAGGAACCGGCGTTGAAATAAAGGATGGAAGTATGGCAAAATACGAGGGCATTAAAACATAAGGAAGCATGAATCGGTCCGTTGGATTCCTTTAAGGGAGAATCTTGGATTTGCGAAAAGCAACTGTTTCCATGACTTTCAGTGGACATGAAATATAACTAGGAAAATATATCCCTTTTTCCACTTTTAACTGCCAAAACTTTTAACTTTCAA